GGCTACTTTTTGGTTGTGATCACAAAACTTTAAAAGTAATAAGACTCGACTCGGAGTTGGCTGTCGTGATACATTGGGAGCTTTCTATCTTTATTATTGCATCGTTTATTAGAGCCCTCCTTGTGGAAGGCTTACCAAAAGATGTGAGGTCTGGTCTCCGGAGAGAACCAGTTACACATTGGAACTTAATCTTACCTCAAATTATTTGTTATATAGTAGTGTTGAAAGTATTAAAACTGCCGATTGAGTGGTGCTAGGCCTATTTGTTTGTCAACCTAGCTCTTTCCTTGCACAGATCCATGGAAATTCTCAGAATCTTTCCTTGCTAGCCTCCAGAGCGGCAAGTAATGAGACACGTGAAGGTCACAAGATAGCACGGCTCAACGCCAAAGTAGTCACATGACCATCTAATGTTGCTGATAATGGCTTTTCCATTAGCCACCTTAAAAGGGATGTTATTGGACGTGTTTGAGATGCAGCTCGATGCTGCCCTTACTTCATCAGAGTGCTCTGGATATTGTCGACAGCATTTCGTTCCTTTCCTTTGAGAACAGAAAAGGGGCCTTTTTCCCCTTAAAAAAGTGTCACCCGAGTCTCAAGAATAGAAAGGATCCGTTGGTTGACAAATAATTTGCAAAAGGATACGGCACCGGGAATTCCCAGGCGGTCACCCATCCAAGTACTAACCCGGCCTGCAGTTGCTTAACTTCCCAGATCGAACGAGATGGGGTGTATTCAACCGAGTATGGCCGTATCCGACAGTCTTGAAATTACGGCCGCTACATTTACTTCGGTCAGTCGGTTAAAGTACGCGAAAATTAGGTTCATGGCGATTAGCACTTGATTGTAACAAGATTGGCTACTTTTTGGTTGTGATCACAAAACTTTAAAACGTAATCAGACCCGACTCGGAGATGGCTGTCGGGATACATTGGGAGCTTTCTATCTTTATTATTGCATCGTTTATTAGAGCCCTCCTTGTGGAAGGCTTACCAAAAGATGTGAGGTCTGGTCTCCGGAGAGAACCAGTTACACATTGGAACTTAATCTTACCTCAAATTATTTGTTATATAGTAGTGTTGAAAGTATTAAAACTGCCGATTGAGTGGTGCTAGGCCTATTTGTATGTCAACCTAGCTCTTTCCTTGTGCGGATCCTTTGAAATTCTCAGAATCTTTCCTTGCTAGCCTCCAGAGCGGCAAGTAATGAGACACGTGAAGGTCACAAGATAGCACGGCTCAACGCCAAAGTGGTCACATGACCATCTCATGTTGCCGATAATGGCTTTTCCATTAGCCACCTTAAAAGGGATGTAATTGGACGTGTTTGAGATGCAGCTCGATGCTGCCCATACTTCATCTGATTGCTCTAGAGACTGTCCATCAGTTCGGTCCTTTCCTTTGAGAACAGAAAAGGGGCCTTTTTCCCCTTAAAAAAGTGTCACCCGAGTCTCAAGAATAGAAAGGATCCGTTGGTTGACAAATAATTTGCAAAAGGATACGGCACCGGGAATTCCCAGGCGGTCACCCATCCAAGTACTAACCCGGCCTGCAGTTGCTTAACTTCCCAGATCGAACGAGATGGGGTGTATTCAACCGAGTATGGCCGTATCCGACAGTCTTGAAATTATGGCCGCTACATTTACTTCGGTCAGTCGGTTAAAGTACGCGAAAATTAGGTTCATGGCGATTAGCACTTGATTGTAACAAGATTGGCTACTTTTTGGTTGTGATCACAAAACTTTAAAAGTAATAAGACTCGACTCGGAGATGGCTGTCGGGATACATTGGGAGCTTTCTATCTTTATTATTGCATCGTTTATTAGAGCCCTCCTTGTGGAAGGCTTACCAAAAGATGTGAGGTCTGGTCTCCGGAGAGAACCAGTTACACATTGGAACTTAATCTTACCTCAAATTATTTGTTATATAGTAGTGTTGAAAGTATTAAAACTGCCGATTGAGTGGTGCTAGGCCTATTTGTATGTCAACCTAGCTCTTTCCTTGCGCGGATCCATGGAAATTATCAGAATCTTTCCTTGCTAGCCTCCAGAGCGGCAAGTAATGAGACACGTGAAGGTCACAAGATAGCACGGCTCAACGCCAAAGTGGTCACATGACCATCTCATGTTGCCGATAATGGCTTTTCCATTAGCCACCTTAAAAGGGATGTAATTGGACGTGTTTGAGATGCAGCTCGATGCTGCCCATACTTCATCAGAGTGCTCTAGAGATTGTCGACAGCATTTCGTTCCTTTCCTTTGAGGACAGAAACGGGGCCTTTTTTCCCAAAAAAGTGTCACCCGAGTCTCAAGAATAGAAAGGATCCGTTGGTTGACAAATAATTTGCAAAAGGATACGGCACCGGGAATTCCCAGGCGGTCACCCATCCAAGTACTAACCCGGCCTGCAGTTGCTTAACTTCCCAGATCGAACGAGATGGGGTGTATTCAACCGAGTATGGCCGTATCCGACAGTCTTGAAATTACGGCCGCTACATTTACTTGGTCAGTCGGTTAAAATACGCTAAAATCAGGTTCATGGCGATTAGCACTTGATTGTAACAAGATTGGCTACTTTTTGGTTGTGATCACAAAACTTTAAAAGTAATAAGACTCGACTCGGAGATGGCTGTCGGGATACATTGGGAGCTTTCTATCTTTATTATTGCATCGTTTATTAGAGCCCTCCTTGTGGAAGGCTTACCAAAAGATGTGAGGTCTGGTCTCCGGAGAGAACCAGTTACACATTGGAACTTAATCTTACCTCAAATTATTTGTTATATAGTAGTGTTGAAAGTATTAAAACTGCCGATTGAGTGGTGCTAGGCCTATTTGTATGTCAACCTAGCTCTTTCCTTGCACGGATCCATGGAAATTCTCAGAATCTTTCCTTGCTAGCCTCCAGAGCGGCAAGTAATGAGACACGTGAAGGTCACAAGATAGCACGGCTCAACGCCAAAGTAGTCACATGACCATCTCATGTTGCCGATAATGGCTTTTCCATTAGCCACCTTAAAAGGGATGTAATTGGACGTGTTTGAGATGCAGCTCGATGCTGCCCATACTTCATCAGAGTGCTCTAGAGATTGTCGACAGCATTTCGTTCCTTTCCTTTGAGGACAGAAACGGGGCCTTTTTTCCCAAAAAAGTGTCACCCGAGTCTCAAGAATAGAAAGGATCCGTTGGTTGACAAATAATTTGCAAAAGGATACGGCACCGGGAATTCCCAGGCGGTCACCCATCCAAGTACTAACCCGGCCTGCAGTTGCTTAACTTCCCAGATCGAACGAGATGGGGTGTATTCAACCGAGTATGGCCGTATCCGACAGTCTTGAAATTACGGCCGCTACATTTACTTGGTCAGTCGGTTAAAAAACGCTAAAATCAGGTTCATGGCGATTAGCACTTGATTGTAACAAGATTGGCTACTTTTTGGTTGTGATCACAAAACTTTAAACGTAATCAGACCCGACTCGGAGATGGCTGTCGGGATACATTGGGAGCTTTCTATCTTTATTATTGCATCGTTTATTAGAGCCCTCCTTGTGGAAGGCTTACCAAAAGATGTGAGGTCTGGTCTCCGGAGAGAACCAGTTACACATTGGAACTTAATCTTACCTCAAATTATTTGTTATATAGTAGTGTTGAAAGTATTAAAACTGCCGATTGAGTGGTGCTAGGCCTATTTGTATGTCAACCTAGCTCTTTCCTTGCGCGGATCCATGGAAATTCTCAGAATCTTTCCTTGCTAGCCTCCAGAGCGGCAAGTAATGAGACACGTGAAGGTCACAAGATAGCACGGCTCAACGCCAAAGTGGTCACATGACCATCTCATGTTGCCGATAATGGCTTTTCCATTAGCCACCTTAAAAGGGATGTAATTGGACGTGTTTGAGATGCAGCTCGATGCTGCCCATACTTCATCAGAGTGCTCTGGAGATTGTCGACAGCATTTCGTTCCTTTCCTTTGAGGACAGAAACGGGGCCTTTTTTCCCAAAAAAGTGTCACCCGAGTCTCAAGAATAGAAAGGATCCGTTGGTTGACAAATAATTTGAAAAAGGATACGGCACCGGGAATTCCCAGGCGGTCACCCATCCAAGTACTAACCCGGCCTGCAGTTGCTTAACTTCCCAGATCGAACGAGATGGGGTGTATTCAACCGAGTATGGCCGTATCCAACAGTCTTGAAATTACGGCCGCTACATTTACTAGGTCAGTCGGTTAAAAAACGCTAAAATCAGGTTCATGGCGATTAGCACTTGATTGTAACAAGATTGGCTACTTTTTGCATTGGTTGTGATCACAAAACTTTAAACGTAATCAGACCCGACTCGGACATGGCTGTCTGGATACATTGGGAGCTTTCTATCTTTATTATTGTATCGTTTATTAGAGCCCTCCTTGTGGAAGGCTTACCAAAAGATGTGAGGTCTGGTCTCCGGAGAGAACCAGTTACACATTGGAACTTAATCTTACCTCAAATTATTTGTTATATAGTAGTGTTGAAAGTATTCAAACTGCCGATTGAGTGGTGCTAGGCCTATTTTTATGTCAACCTAGCTCTTTCCTTGCGCGGATCCATGGAAATTCTCAGAATCTTTCCTTGCTAGCCTCCAGAGCGGCAAGTAATGAGACACGTGAAGGTCACAAGATAGCACGGATCAACGCCAAAGTGGTCACATGACCATCTCATGTTGCCGATAATGGCTTTTCCATTAGCCACCTTAAAAGGGATGTAATTGGACGTGTTTGAGATGCAGCTTGATGCTGCCCATACTTCATCTGATTGCTCTCTAGAGATTGTCGACAGCATTTCGTTCCTTTCCTTTGAGAACAGAAAAGTGGCCTTTTTCCCTTTAAAAAAGTGTCACCCGAGTCTCAATAATAGAAAGGATCCGTTGGTTGACAAATAATTTGCAAAAGGATACTGCACCGGGAATTTCCATATTATTTTATTAGAATTGCTATGTTTTAAGGAAATTCAGCTTGATTTTATTACAGGAGCTTCAGTAGACGCATTAAAACAAGGTGACTGGACCCCCCTCATGCTTGCAGCTGAAAAACAGAACTTGGAGATTGTAAGTTTTGCTAATGAACTACCGAAATTATAATTTTAAACACTCTAAATTATCTCAATGTTTTCATGTCATTTTGTTGGTCTTGACTCGTCGGCGCATAACGTACCCTAATTTTTGCACCGACAAATCTCCAGCAGTAGAGTCCCGGACCCGTCCGCGTCTTTTTGATCAGTCCCCTGACACTTAAAAATTAGGGGGGGGGGGGGGGGGGGGGGGGGTGGGGGCAACCATATTAAAGTATATTAAAGTATATCCCCGGGTCAAAATCGGGAAAAATCCTACATGTTAATTTACTTTAATATGGTTGCCCCCCCCCCCCCCCCCCCCCTCAAATTAATCTTAATTTCTAAAGAATTAGTTGGGCCTAATTGATTTGACTTTTTTTAAAAACCAAAACGTTTGTTTCCTCAATTCAGTTTATCACTTCCTAACCATCAGATAAAGCTGCTGACTGGCTTTTGCTTTTAGCTGTTGCCTAGTAACCGTTACCTAGTAACCGTTGCTTAGTAACCGTTGCATAGTAACTGTTTCCTAGTAACGGTTGCCTACTAACTGTTGCTTAGTAACTGTTGCCTATATACTGTTGTCAAGTAACTGTTGTCTAGTAACTGTTCCTTAGTTATTGTTGCCTAGTAACCGTTGCCTAGCAACTGTTGCCTAGTAACACTTCCTAACCTACCAGATAAAGGTGCTGGCTGAAAACGGAGCAGACGTTAAACTTACGAACAAGGACGGTTGGAACGCCTTCCACATAGCTGCTAGATCAGGCAAAGTGGAGGTGTTGAAGTACTTGCTAGAGTTAAACTCTGATCTCATAAGTAAGATTACAAGAACAACTGGCTTAAAATACTTAAACTACTTAAACTACTTACCTAATGTTACTTTATTGAGGCTTATGACTTCTCTTTCGGACTCGTCCCACCAAATTATCATTGATTAATTACCGGATCAATCTCTTTGTTTTCTTCTTCAATACATAATTTTCTATTGTTACTCGGCGTCAATAAAAGTTGGATAAAGTAGAACGTCCTGATAAACAAAGATATTAAGTTGTTGAGATGTAAAAGGTAACTGTAGTAACTGTAGTAACTGTTGCCCAGTAACCAAACTATTTCTCCCCAGATACAGTCAGTAAGAACGGCCGGACTCCGCTCCACTCAGCTGCTCTGAATAACTGTCACGAGGCTACTGATTGGCTACTGCTCAGAGGAATCTCTCCTAACTTGGTGAGGATCTTTAGTTGATTGTCTTCTCTCTTGTCTTACTATTGTTAGTGTTTTTTATAATATCATGGTCTCTCTCTCTCTCTGTTCTGGTCAACGGTTATCATGGTATATAATGGTATTTAATATTTGGTATAATATAATATTCATCTTGTGTCACTCTCACCGACCTCACCTGATTTTCCGTTTATCAAAGCTTTCTTTGGTTATAGAACTTTGAGTACGTACCTGAAATCTGGCATGTGGTATTTACGCTTCAATATGAAAAACAACCGTTTCTTAACTTCATTGTAGATCTTGATATTTTATTACTTTTTTCCAGTATATTTGACTAGAGTATGAAGTTTCTGAGATGTAACTGTAGTAACTGTTGCCTAGTAACTTTAGTAACTGTTCCTTATTAACTGTTCCTTATTAAATGTTGCCTAGCAACTGTTTCCTAGTAACTGTTGTCTAGTAACTGTTGCCTGCATACTGTTGTTTAGTAACTGTTACGCTTAGTAACCTCACTATCTCAGGTGGACAGTAGCGGACTAACCCCCCTAATGGACGGTGCGAGGATGGGACACGAGGCAGTTTGCGTTGTCCTGGTAACGCACGGTGCAGACCTACTCCAGCTGGACAACCTCAAGAGAACTGTACTTCACCACGTGACTCAAGCCGGCCAGGTACATGTTTATCATTATTATTTACTGTAGTAGTGATGTTATTTATATAGGAAATGTATCATACTATTACTGGTTATTCTTAACATCGGAAATTGATGACACTATGCGTCATGTGTGTGTGGTAATATAACAATTCTGGAAAAATGTAAAACGAGTTCCTTTTACAACGTATCTGTAGATGGTTTTATTTGGCAGCTGGCTTGCCTTACCCAGCAACAAGGCAGACTTAGTTAATTTGACTGTTTGAAAAGCGGATCACGTGCGCAATAGGTAACGCCTATTAGCGCTTGCAAGGCAAACATATGTCTAAGAATCTGGTATAAGCAAGTTTATCAGAAAGCTAACAATACGAAGGCAACAGTAACTAGGTAACAGATGTCAGAAAGGAACGTTATTCTAGTTCAGCTGCTGTTATTTACAGTATAGATTCTCTATAATCACAATCTATTGTGCATTTCCCTTTAAAACCCTTCTTCGCATCAGAAACAAACATTATAGGTTACTGAGTATTATAAATGAAACATGGTGTGTATTAACGTAATAACTTTCTTACAATTTCAAACATTTTGAACGAAACACTGTATTTACTACCCCATTACTATGCAATGCGACAAAGATGTTGTATAAAATATGACTAAATAGTTTACACAATACGGTGCCCATGTCTGAGCAGCTCTCCTCAAAATACTTTCTCTCCTCGGAGCAGAAAGTTAAAAACACGGCCACGGGTCTCACATGATCGAAAAATACTAAATAATGTCAACTTAGAGATAATATCAGTTTAACTGACAAAGAAAAATGGTGAATAAAATGTAGTATACATACAATAAAATTGATTTTATTGACACACCGAAAAAAACCAACTGGTTAAACCCAAAAAAAATAAATGGATACTCAAAAATAAATTACACAAAAAGACCTAGCCACTAACAATACCCAACAATTAACTAATACAAAATAGATCCTTAATCTTATCAACAGTGTACTTGTATCTTTACTGTTGCTAGGCAACAGTTGCTAGGCAACAGTAGATATTCAACAGTTGCTAGACAACAGTTACTAGGCAACTAAAGCAATAGGTTTTATTAGAAATACGGGGTGTTCAGTGTTCACGAAACATTGGTAAGGTTTTAAACATCTGTAAATTGATTTATGAAAAAGCAACCATACCAGCTACATTTAGCTTTCTTTGTAAATCGGTTAAAATGTTGTCACAACAGTCCATATATAAAATATTTTACATAGTTGTATAATGTATATAGATAATGGCCCAGAGTTGAGATGGATGCAGGAACTGAAGTGAGTAGAAGTCAAACTTACCTTACTCGATGTGAGTTCCTGCTGTTTCCTTTCCAAGAACACACAGACAAATACTGACAACAACAGCCGCGATTTGAGTAAATGCTAACACAATCCTTGGGTGGAGATTAAAGATAAACTGAGAGCAGGCAATACCAGCAGAGGCTCCCACCCTCCAAAAACCCAGCCCGACAGCTATTACAAACGATCTCACTTCTGTTGGGAAGTATTCCGCCCCCAGTAGGTACAGACCGAACACTATTTGTGCTGCAGCAAATTTAGATATTGTGAAAAATACGAAGGCGTATGTTTTGTTTACACATACGTACAAGGAGGCTGTAGCGATCAGTAGCAATAAAACTGAAGATTGGAAGGTGATTTTGCGGCCCAATCGCGTCTCTATCATCACAGTAGCTACTAAGACTCCCAAGGGCTCGAACAAGCTGATAATCCCCAAATCAAACAAAACAGATTTATCAAAATGGCAAGATAGCTCCACGGGCACTATTTCATCAGAACAGTAGCCTTCGTTGAGGAACCTTGGCATAGAGTAACTTATGGCATAGTAAATAAACGTAGCTGCAGCACCAAACGTAGTGATTACTATCAGGTTCTTTAAAAGCCCGTTTGATTTGATGTATGTTAAAGAACTGCAGCATCCAAGTCCGCTATTGTCATCACTCTTTTGTCCCCGTTTTAGTCTGACGGTCATGTTTCCCGCGGTACAGTTCAACTTTGCGACAGTTAGAAGAGTTCTTTCCGCTCTGTCCCAGTTACCCTTCTTTGCGTCAAATCTTGGAGACTCTCCCGCGATGGCCAAGAAGAGTATTGATGGCGAGAACATGATGGCAGTTCCTATCATAAGGCCTCTCCAGCCGTAGGGATCAACGACGAAATACGCCAAAGCACTTGTCAGTGACGCACCTATCCCCCACGCCAGCGAACCATATGAGACTAGAAAGCCTCTAATTTTAATTGTCGATATTTCCGCTGAAAAATAATAGAATGAGATGAAATGAAACACAGCTGACACTTTACAATTCAATAAAAATCAAATGCAATAGCATTGAATTGACATCACTATCAATGTACCATATCGTAAAAACGTGACTAAATAAGTCAGTAGAATTTGGCAAGGGTATGTCGGTTAACTCAATACATACCTGTGAGAGCAAGTTACTAGGCAACAGTTACTAAATACTAGGCAACAGTTACTAGGCAACACAGTACAGCTACATACCTGTGAGAGCAAGACCAGGACCTATTGATACCCCAATAAACACCCCAACAAGTCCCCGCAGTACAGCTAGATGCCAGTATTTTGTAGCAAGTCCACATAACAATCCTGCTATGGTAACTCCTATAGCTCCAGCTAGAGCTACTGGCTTCCTGCCAAATTTATCACCCGCTCCAGAAAAAAGGAGCGATGCCAGCGCCATGCCTATGAAGACGGTTATCTGAAAAGCAAAGTTTAGTTGACTAGGTGATCACGTGTTAGCTGACAAAATTAGAAAAATCGAAATACCCCGATTTACCGCTAAGTTAATAACTTTAAGAAAAATGTACTTAAAAATCGCTTTGAGTGGATAGATAATAGGCATTGTCATAAAGAAATTAGATGAATAAAGATTAAGATTAATAAAGATTATTAAGATAGATTAACGATATATTTTCAAGTATATGTTACCAGTCCTATATTTCATCATGAAAGTTTCTGGGATGACTAGATTAAACACTGCTGAGTATAAGTTTATCTTAATAGTGGGGTTCTTAAACTTCAATTTATTATTATTATTAAGACTTTAGATTAATAGAGATTAAGATTAATAAATTACCTGAAGAGCAGTAACCCAGAAAGTAGTGAGCTCCCACTCACATCTCACCATGATTCCAACTATTGACAAAATCATTATTTCTCCCCCTTCTAAACAGAACAACAAAAACGGTCCCAAACTGAAAAGAAATGTGCCACATCCAAATCCTGCTGTTTCCAATGCTTCATTTATATCTAGTTTTGAGTCCGGTTCTTTGGTGCTGTCATCTTCTTTATTCTGAAAGTCTTCCTTCAGCTGTGTATTCTCATCGGAAGTTTCCATTTCATCGCCAATTAACTGCTACTCTCTGCAACATAAACTGTAAAACTGAAAGAAGTGGGGTCAGACTTTTCATTTCATGTTCTAAAAGTAGTTTTAATCTTTGCGGCATCAGTTTTAGCGAATCTGAACGATTCAATGGATAAACGAGTCACAAGCAATTGATTTCACTGCACAAATGTTAGCAAATCTTTACGCGAAAATAAATTCCACAAATGAATGGTTTTACAGAAATGTTGGGACATCGCACGATGTATTAAACAAGTTAAAGGGGGGTATAATAAACAATTAATGATAACTCCTGACGAAATAGCCTTAACAATTTTGGCTGTAACGACGAATCTATCTGATGCACTACACAGAGCTGAACCACTATTGAAATGTAATAAAATACAGATATGTGATATTATGATAATGTAGATATTATTCAACATCACCTGACACCTACACGATTGCCAGTGTCTTATGTGGTAGAATGGGGGGGGGGGTACACTACACTGTTTTACACCAAACATAGAAGAAGGCAAAAGTGTAGTGTAAAAAGGTGTAGTGTAAAAAAGTGTAAAAAGTGACATTTTCCCTCACCAATGGTATGTTTTACCTTTGGAAACGTGCTGTGTGAAGACTGATCGGAAAATAATAGGAAAAAAGCAGATTTTTAGAAGATAATTTTGTTAAGTGTAATTAATAATGTAAAATAGTGTAAAAAAGTGTACCTTTTGTTACTACACTTTTTACTACACCATACACATACACAAAAACAAGCAAAAGTTTAGTTTGTATGTATAAAGTATGGTATCAGAGATATTTAAAAGTCAGTGTACATCGCCCGGTGGCTGAATTTTAAAATTTGCTAATAGTTGTTAACAAAATTTGGCTATTCAGGGATCTTGTTTTTCAAAGCACACTATGCTATTCAAGAAGCTTATACTGCAGATCTGCACTCATTATCAGGGGGGGGGGGGGGGGGGGGCTCATGTTTTGTGTCCGTTTTGTCCGTGCGGTACCCTATATTTTCAAGACGGACAAAAAATAGGGCGTACAAAAATGGACAAAAAAGTTACGGAAATAACATTTAGATGCTTCTTTTCTACACTGATTAGACTCATGCTTATCGGTTATCAGTATTTGTAACATTCAGTCGATAAATCACTTTCATGATTGAGGTTCGTATTATATTAATTATTGGTTGAAGTACAAATAATACAATCCTTTATTCCAACTGCAAGTCATGAAATGGAGGCAGATATGTGCAACTTTGATAAACATTGCTGACTATTAATTTACTCTCCGAAATTCTTTACTGTGATGGACCAGGGACAAAAGGATTTCGCGATTATTTTGGCCAAAAATCGCGATACCGCGAATTTTAACAGACTATACATTAAACTATAAATAAAATTTGTCGCAAATAATGGTAAAAATCGCGATTCCGTAGTCCGTACATGCCGCGATTTCCTTTGGTCCCTGTAATGGACCGTTGTCGTTTTGCTTGAGCCTTTTTGGTAATTTTAGACCCTGTTCAGTGTTCCTCTCCTTCTGGAGCTTGGTAACAGGTAAATTTGACTTATTTATGAGCTAGACCGTTACATCAACCGATAAAATACCCCCCACCCGAACCCACCCCCCCCCCCCTCTTGTGGTTATAAGTTTGTTCCGGAGTTGATAGAGGAAGCTCGCAAACTAGTAGTATTTAATGAAGATTGGCGAAGTTTACAGTTTGCAAAATCAGTAAAGTTGCGAACATTGTATCGACAGGTTCAACCATCAAAAGTAGCAGATGTGACTAAGGAAAAAATATATCGTGTAATAGTTGTAGAGCCTCAGTAGTTGTAGAGCCCCAATAGGAATTGCATAAATTTACATTATTATGATTATGACTGTCAAATATTCAACAATATCAATAAATATTATGAATATAATGACGGCCACCACTAGAATACCTTCAACCTAACAAACTGTAACAACTGATTCACTAGATTGTGATTGATAGACACAAACATGATCAAATCTGTTATTATAGCCAGGTTGATTTCTTAGCGATAACACTGATTGTATTTTAAAACAGCAACAACATTTTCTGGATAACACGATAAGAAGTTTGTTAATTACATCTATATAACATTATAACAGTTTAAATATAATTACGTGGCACATTTTAGGATTATTATTGTTGTTAATAAGCTTATTGTAGCCATATATTTTAGATTTTAATCGGTTAACTTCTTTCTACGACGTTTCTCATGGAAACGTCATTATGACTTTATGATTATGAATATCGTCCAACATATCTCATGTATAACTATATGCACGTGATAATTTTATGAAAGTTACTAATGCTACATTAATTTCATTGTTATATCCCACCCGGAATATTGGTCATGTGGCTAATAGGATATTAAGCAGTAAAACACCCTCTGTAGACACTAATGATTGAGCAGACTACACAACTCATTAAATCCGTCTGTTTCAATAACCAATCAAGTTAGAAGGGGGGGGGGGGAGGGTGACACGTCCGTCTATGTCCGCTTGTCTCATAGAATCCAAAAAGAAGAGGACAATAGCGGACAATAAAATCTGTCGAAATTCTGCCAAATTTGTTATAATTTGCTAATCTTTTAAACGACAGGGTGATAATTTTTCAAACAAAGTAACATTTTATGTCGTTCACCCTTTAGATCCTATTTAAAAGGTATTTTGAGGGCACGAACTCAGATGTTGCGGACTGATGTACAATCTACAATGTACATGGGTACAATATCTAGACCTATCAACCGGGCATGTTAGTTAAATACTTGAAGTTAGATCTTTATACCTCTTAAAGCGTAAGTAATCAAGATACAGGGGTTAAAATACCAAGATAATTGCGTCTTGATATATATATATATATACAGATAAACTAAACAGCCTGGAAACTGGAAAATGTGCCTCTTTTTTGAAACATGAAATCCCTAGAAATAGGTATGTGGGTTTCGAGACAATACCAGTTCAAATTAAAACGGGCAGGAATTCTTTGATCCTTCAATTATCAATGATACAAATTGTTTAAAATGGTTAAAAAGAGAAGATAAGAGAAGATAAGATAAAAAGAGCGGAATTCTACTAGTCAGAATTTCATGGGTATCAAATATCAATATCAGAACAGACTTGACTTACTGGTCTGTGCTTTGGAGCTCGGTTTAAGGGGAGGCATGATTTCCGAGATTAAATAACAACGGAAAGACTCGATAGAAAAATCACAGATTCACACAGCAATAGCAGCAAATCTGGGGAAACTTGGTGGACATTGACTTTTTTCACATAATTTGAGTATGTTGACTTCAACATTATGTTGCAGCTCATTGTGGTTAATCTCAATGTTGGAGTGATGTTTTTCTGGTGCACAAAACACTACAGTATGGTTATGTTGAATAATTGTGGTTAATGGGTCATCTATGTGGCCACTATGGTGGTTAAAATACCAGTTTTAGGGTTAACCACCATTTTTAGATATGATATTATGAACTGAGTAGTCATTATATTGAGATCATATCATGGTGCAACTATCACAAAAGTTTTCAAACCTCATGGGGGGCATTTTGTGGTCCTAATGGTGGTTAAATTTAAGATGAAAGGTGAGCTATAAATATTGCTCCGATTATAGATGTATAGTGGTGGTTGTTCATTTGTGCATGGATGATAATTTTTTATCACAAATGTGCAATTTAATAGTATGGTTGATTAGAGGTGGTTAATATTCGTAAAAAGTGCTAAAAAGATGGTTAAAATGTCAAAATTTGTTGTTAACCACCAATCAAAACATTATTAATGATTTTAGTCAACATTTTCTGGTCAACAAAGGACATTTGAAGGGTCTTGATAAAATTTTTCAAGAAATGTTGTCATAAAAGTGGTTAAAAGGGCTATATTACTTGCTAGGCTGTTGAACAAGGCATCTATTAAAGTGAAAATTAACCACAATATGAACTTCAGATAATGGTTTGCTATCCAAATGAGTGTATATTTGTTTGCAAATCCATAATTGACCCCAAGTTCATGCATTATGATCAATGTGCAGCTATGGTGGTTAAAATGTCTCGAAAATACCCTATATTTGCACTAATTAACCATTTTTAGAGCACATATTAGCTTTGTAAAGCTATAGCTGGCCATGCTACATTATCTAGATATAACTACCTGCTCATTTATATGACCAGAAACATTGCTGAGTCCTATGTTGTGTCCATCATGGTTAATAAAGGTCTAAAATTGACCAAAATCAGTGTTTTTGGTCGTTTTAACCACCATACGGCCACACATTTTGTTGCATTATCTTTAAAATCACTTATTATCCTCCAGCTATCTCTCATAATCAAATATCAAAACAAAATAAGGCACAAAAAGTTCGGAGGTTGCTGAATAATGGTTAATTTGTGATGGCTTCTGTTGACCGAAAGTCCAAAATAAACATGTTTTAACCACATTGAGGCCACATCTAAGGTTTTATGGTATTGGGACCATAGTCAAAAGTTTTGGGCACCTGAATGGTGACCTCTGCTTTTGAAATTATGGTGATATTTCAATGCTGTGCCATACCAGGTGGTTAAGTACGCGCTAGCGCGCGCACGCGTACAAACATGGTTTTTTTGATATACCACAGTTGGTGGTTAACTGTTCTACATCAAACCTTCACTAAAAGTATTGGGCACCATAGTGGTGACATAATATATAAAGAATTTAAGCCTAGACTAAATATGTTGGCCTACAGATGGTTAAGTACGCGCTAGCGCGCGCGCACGCGTACACTATAACATAAACAAATAAACCACTCCACAGACCACATTTATTAATTTTTTTAATTTCCTTCTTCAACTATGTGTCAATGAACCATTTTTGTTCAATAATGACCATCAATATTAACTGTAGTACTTATATCTTCACTGTAGTAAGGGTTTGGGTGTTAGAGGTATAAAAAATGTCCACTAACAAATCAGTCATTTTTCGACTACTTAACCACCTAACTCAGCACCATAATGTTCTGAGATTTTTTTCGTTGCACTATCATGAAGCTATGACATTTTTGGACCTATGTAAATAATCAGATTACTAAAATTCATAATCTTAGATTTTTAAGGGGGGGGGTTAAATGCTTCAAATTGGTGTATTTCAAAGTTTCCCCAGATTTGCTGCTATTGCTGCACAGAGTTTAAATTTTACGAGACACTCATTCGACAATGATCACGCAATTGAAAGGTCCTTTTTATATTAGTGAAATTGACCAAAAAATCTTCACCATTTCCAGCTTTCCAGATAACAAAGAAATAGAACAATAATCATTCCTTACAACTAACAACTTGTACTACAAAATTTAAAGATAACACCAAAAGAGTGGATAAGTCCACCTTGCCCTACTCGATGTGAGTTCCTGCTGTTTCCTTTCCAAGAACACACAGACAAATACTGACAACAACAGCCGCGATTTGAGCAAATGCTAGCACAATTCTTGGGTGGAGATTAAAGATAAACTGAGAGCATGCAATACCAGCACAGGCCCCTATTCTGTTAAAAACTAACCCAAATGAAACTACAAAAGATCTCACTTCAGTTGGAAAATACTCAGCCCCCAGTATAAATGGGCTTAGTCCAATCTGGGCCGCACTGAATTTCGATATTGTGAAAAACACAAATGAGTACTTGTCGTTTACACAGAAGTATAACGCTGTAAGAGCAATCAGTTGCAATAACGCTGATGATTGGAATGTCTTTTTCCGGCCAATGATCTCCATCAGTATAACTGCTACTAGGACTCCCAGGGGTTCGAATAAACTGATGACACCCAGATCAAACAGAACCGATTTATTGAAGATACAAGATTCATCTTGTGTCACTTTTATACCAGTACAGTATCCTTCATTAAGAAATCTTGGCATGGAGTAACTGATGGTGTAGTAGATGAATATTGCTGTAAATCCCAGCGCATAGACAACTGCCAGATCCGTCATTCGTCCAGTTGCCTTGATAAAGTTCAAGGCACCGAAAAGTCCGGTTTCCTTATTATAAGTGTCATCGTCATCTTCTACCCTTTTCAATTTGATGATACCGCTTCCGCTGTTGCAGTTGAGCTTAGCGATGGTTTGGACTGTATTTTCCGCTCTGTCCCAGTTTCTATTTTTAGCTTCAAATCTCGGAGACTCTGGCATGATGGCAAAGAAGAAGATTGATGGAGAGAACATGATTGCAGTTCCCAACATAAACCCTCTCCAGCCGTAAGGATCAACGACGTAGTACGCCAAAGCACTTGTCAGTGATGCACCAATCCCCCACGCCAGGGAAACATAAGAGATCAGAAATCCTCTCCATTTGACTGTTGCTATTTCCGCTGAAATTTATTTAAATTGAGTGTGGGACAGAAAAGTAAATCTATTTATATTGTTCTCCAATCTCCGCCATATCCCCGAAAATGCGTGAACAGTGATCGCTGATAATTATTGAATCGCCTATTGTATCGCCTTGATGAACAGTGGGTAACATACATTTTTTCATTAAGAAACCCTCGTACATTACAATACATATTACATAATACTTAGACTTTATTTCGTGCAGAGCACTCGCGCACGTGCGGGGATGCTAAGAGCACTCGATAGCCGAGATATTATGGTATCGACGTATCGTAATTCGTAACATTTTGGTGCTAACAGATACTGATCAAGCATTGTCATGAGCAATATTAAAGAATAAAAGTAGCAGAAATTATCTTGATCAGCGCTTACCTGTAAGAGTGATAGAAGGCCCCATCCCTATTCCCATAAACACCCCAACAAGTCCACGCAGTACAGCTAGATGCCAGTATTTTGTAGCAAGTCCACATAACAATCCTGCTATGGTAACTCCTATAGCTCCAGCTAGAGCTACTGGCTTCCTGCCAAATTTATCACCCGCTCCAGAAAAAAGGAGCGATGCCAGCGCCATCCCTATGAAGACGGTTATCTGAAGAGCAAAGTTTAGTTGACTATGTCATCACGTATTGGGTGTTGGCTGGCAAAATTAGAAAAGTCGAAGTACAGTTATACCCCGATTTACCGCTGAGTTAATAATATCAGGAGCTGCAGAATATCAAATCGCTTTGAGTGGATAGATAATCGGTATTGTGATAAAGAAATTAGATGAATAAAGATTAAGATTAATAAAGATTATTAAGATAGATTAACGATATATTTTCTAGTATATGTTACCAGTCCTATATTTCATCATGAAAGTTTCTGGGATGACTAGATTAAACACTGCTGAGTATAAGTTTATCTTAATAGTGGGGTTTTTAAACTTCAATTTATTATTATTATTAAGACTTTAGATTAATAGAGATTAAGATAAATAAATTACCTGAAGAGCAGTAACCCAGAAAGTAGTGAGCTCCCACTCACATCTTACCATGATTCCAACTATTGACAAAATCATTATTTCTCCCCCTTCTAAACAGAACAACAAAAACGGTCCCAAACTGAAAAGAAGTGTGCCACATCCAAATCCTGCTGTTTCCAATGCTTCATTTAAATCTAGTTTTGAGTCCGGTTCTTTGGTGCTGTCATCTTCTTTATTCTGAAAGTCTTCCTTCAGCTGTGTATTTTCATCGGAAGTTTCCATTTTATCGCCAATTAACTGCTACTCTCTGCAACATAAACTGTAAAACTGAAAGAAGTGGGGTCAGACTTTTCATTTCATCTTCTAAAAGTAGTTTTAATCTTTGCGGCATCATTTTTAGCGAATCTTAACGATTTAATGGATAAACGGGTGACGTCATACGTTTAAACTTGGGTTATCAGTTTCAATATTACATAGCGTGATAGAAAACATAACTAGGCACCAGTGCTGCACGCTGCCGTTTTTTTCAAAACGGCGGCGGCATGGTTAAAATCGGTGTCGGCGTGTGGTCATTTGATTTCGCAGATTAAATTTTCCTCTAGAATAATGCCATCTGGAGAGCAATTTTTAACAGTTTTGAATTTTGACATGAGGCTCGTAATATTTAGTATATATATATATAGTATAAACAGGTTCACGCCATGTACGCCGTTTGAAAACGACGGCGGCGTGGCCGCAAAATTATCGGCGGCGGTGTGCAGCACTGCTAGGCACAACTATCCAAACCTAAAAATAGAAAGAAAAATATATAATCACGGATAATTCCTGAAAATAAAACTGTCCCAATTTCTTAAAGTAACTATCTTCAAAAAGTAGTTAATCTTCACGGCATCAGTTTTAGCGAATCTAAACGAGTCAATGGATAAACAAGTCACAAGCAATTGATTTCACTGCACAAATGTTCGCAAATCTTTACGCGAAAAATAAATGAAACATTAGATATAAAAAAAATAAATTCCACAAATGAATGGTTTCATAGAAATATTACGACATCGCACGATGTATTAAACAAGTTAAAGGGGGTGTAAACAATTAATGATAACCCATGCCGAAATAACAATTTTGGCTATAACGACGAAGCTATCTGACGCACTACATAGAGCTGAACCTCATATTTAATTGTAATAAAATAGATATTATTCAACATCACCTACACGATTGCCAGTGTCTTATGTGGTAGAATGGGGGGGGGGGGGGGGGGGGGGGGGGGTACACTACACTTTTTTAGAAGATAATTTTGTTAAGTGTAATTAATAATGTAAAATAGTGTAAAATAGTGTAAAAAGGTGTACCTTTTTTACTACACCATACACAAAAACAAGCAAAAGTTTAGTTTGTATGTATAAAGTATGGTATCAGAGATATTTAAAAGTCAGTGTACTGAATTTCAAAATTTGCTAATAGTAATTGTTAACCAAATTTGGCTATTCAGGGATCTTGTTTTTCAAAGCACACTATGCTATTCAAGAAGCTTATACTGCAGATCTGCACTCATTATTAAGGGGGGGGGGGGGGGGGGGGGGGGGGGGGGGCTCATGTTTTGTGTCCTACCCTATTTTCTGAAGACGGACAAAATCGCACGGACAAAATCTTGATAAGAATACAGTGTAAACATGCCTTTGTGGTTATAAGTTTGTTCCGGAGTTGGTAGAGCTGTAGAGGAAGCGAACTAGTATTATTTAATGAAGAATGGCAAGGTTTACACTTTGCAAAATCAGTAAAGATACGAAAATTGTCTCGACAGGTTCAACCATCCAAAGTAGCAGATGTGACTAAGAAAAAAAGAAACCCATACCACTGCACCGCATCATATAGCGTGTAATAGTTGTAGAGCCTCAATAGTCGTAGAGCCTCAATAGGAATTACATACATTTACATTATCATGATTATGACTATCATATAGTTTATCGTCAGTCTTCCTCCTCCTCAGTCCTCTTTCTCCTCCTACACCTAAGTTCTCCTCCTACTCCTAAGTCCTCCTCCTCTTTTTCCTCCTTTTCCTCCTCCTTCTCCTCCTACTCCTAAGTCCTCATCCTCAGTCCTCCTCCTCATGAGTCCTCCCCCAGTCCTCCTTCTCCTCCCCCTCATCCTCAGTCCTCCTCCTCATCATCCTCCTCATTCCTCCTCCTCCTCAGTCCTCCCCAAGTCCTCCTCTTCCTCAGTCCTCCCCCAGTCCTCCTTCTCCTCCTCATCCTCAGTCCTCCTCCTCAGTCCTCGTCCTTCTCCTTCTTATCAGTCCTCCTCCTCAGTCTTCCTCCTCGCTCTCGTCCTCCTCATCCTTAGTCCTCCCCGTCCTCAGTCCTCCTCCTTCTCCTCCTTCTCGTCTTCCTCATTTTCCTCCTCCTCACCAATCCTGCTCCTCTTCCTCAGTCCTCCCTCTCCTCTTCAGTCCTCCTCTTCAGTCCTCCTAAGTCCTCCCCAGTCCTCTTCTTTCTCCTCAGTCTTCCTCCTTCTCCTCCTCCTACTCAGTCCTCCTCTTCTTCCTCCTCCTTCTCCTCTTCCTCCTCCTAATCAGTCCTCCTCCTCAGTCGTCCTCGTCCTTAGTCCTCGTCCTCATCCTCATCGTCTTTAGTCCTCATCCGCCTAGTCCTCGTCCATAGTCCTCGTCCATAGTCCTCGTCCTCATCCTCCTAGTCCTCGTCCTGGTCCTCCTCAGTCTTCCTCCTCTGTCCTCCTCAGTCCTCCTTCTCCTCAGTCCTCCTCCTCAGTCCTCCTTCTCCTCCTCAGTCCTCCCCCAGGGGGGGGGGGGGGGGGGGGGGGCGGGGGGCTCATGTTTTGTGTCCTACCCTATTTTCTGAAGACGGACAAAATCGCACGGACAAAATCTTGATAAGAATACAGTGTAAACATGCCTTTGTGGTTATAAGTTTGTTCCGGAGTTGGTAGAGCTGTAGAGGAAGCGAACTAGTATTATTTAATGAAGAATGGCAAGGTTTACACTTTGCAAAATCAGTAAAGATACGAAAATTGTCTCGACAGGTTCAACCATCCAAAGTAGCAGATGTGACTAAGAAAAAAAGAAACCCATACCACTGCACCGCATCATATAGCGTGTAATAGTTGTAGAGCCTCAATAGTCGTAGAGCCTCAATAGGAATTACATACATTTACATTATCATGATTATGACTATCATATAGTTTATCGTCAGTCTTCCTCCTCCTCAGTCCTCTTTCTCCTCCTACACCTAAGTTCTCCTCCTACTCCTAAGTCCTCCTCCTCTTTTTCCTCCTTTTCCTCCTCCTTCTCCTCCTACTCCTAAGTCCTCATCCTCAGTCCTCCTCCTCATGAGTCCTCCCCCAGTCCTCCTTCTCCTCCCCCCTCATCCTCAGTCCTCCTCCTCATCATCCTCCTCATTCCTCCTCCTCCTCAGTCCTCCCCAAGTCCTCCTCTTCCTCAGTCCTCCCCCAGTCCTCCTTCTCCTCCTCATCCTCAGTCCTCCTCCTCAGTCCTCGTCCTTCTCCTTCTTATCAGTCCTCCTCCTCAGTCTTCCTCCTCGCTCTCGTCCTCCTCATCCTTAGTCCTCCCCGTCCTCAGTCCTCCTCCTTCTCCTCCTTCTCGTCTTCCTCGTTTTCCTCCTCCTCACCAATCCTGCTCCTCTTCCTCAGTCCTCCCTCTCCTCTTCAGTCCTCCTCTTCAGTCCTCCTAAGTCCTCCCCCAGTCCTCTTCTTTCTCCTCAGTCTTCCTCCTTCTCCTCCTCCTACTCAGTCCTCCTCATCTTCCTCCTCCTTCTCCTCTTCCTCCTCCTAATCAGTCCTCCTCCTCAGTCGTCCTCGTCCTTAGTCCTCGTCCTCATCCTCATCGTCTTTAGTCCTCATCCGCCTAGTCCTCGTCCATAGTCCTCGTCCTCATCCTCCTAGTCCTCGTCCTGGTCCTCCTCAGTCTTCCTCCTCTGTCCTCCTCAGTCCTCCTTCTCCTCCTCAGTCCTCCTTCTCCTCCTCAGTCCTCCCCCAGTCTTCCTTCTCCTCCTCATCATCCTCAGTCCTCTTCCTCCTCCTCCTTCTCCTTCTTATCAGTCCTCCTCCTCAGTCCTCGTCCTCGCTCCTCTTCCGCAGTTCTCCCTCTCCTCTGCCGTCCTCCTCATCCCCAGTCCTCCTCCTCCTCGTCAGTCCTCCTCGGTCCTTCTCCTCCTCGTCAGTCCTCCCGGCCCCAGTCCTCCTCCTCCTCCTCAGTCCTCTTCTTCTTCAGTCCTCCTCCTCGCTCCTCCTCATCAATTTACACAATTTATTGTTAATAAATGTTTTTAAACGCATTTGAGTCTGTAACATATTGACATGTTACTGTTACTGACTCAAAATGTGCTCGAGAATTTTTTGTTTAACAAAGTTTTACTCTCCAGTACTATGGAAAAGTTGTTACATGATAAATAAAGATTTTGATAAATAAAGTGATTTTTATCCCTAATGTTCATCCCTAATGTTATTAAAAATTGTGTAGACTATTCTTTGTATCTAACTGAGGATTGGAAGTTTGAGAAAGGACCATGTTCATTAACCGTGTTACCCATTTCTGCAGATAGCCCTACAAATTGTGGAGACTATTTAAATCAAAAGTTACTAAAGCGTTCGCTATTTGTTACGATTGTTATTACCAACCGTACCTCTTTCAATTGTGGACCGGGGTGGATGTTTCTGTCAAACAAGAGTTGATGCGACAGTGTGTTGTCTTTCGGAAGAAACGATAATTGTTTGGAACAAGAAACCATTTTGGGTTTCTGGGACAACCACCAATCGATTTCTTGTCATATTTAAGTTCAGAAATAGCTGCCTATATCGCCTAGAAACCTCAGAGGGAAGATTTAAATTTTCCCGATTTTTCCGATATGAGGGTTGATGAGGCCAAAATCGGAATCGGAATGATCGGAAAAATCGGGTTGGACAACTTTTTCTAAGGTCCCCTCATCCTTTAGTTTTATGAAAGTTTATAATGCTACATTAATTTTATTGTTCTATCCCTCCCGGAATATTGCTCATGTGGCTAATAGGATATTATTACAATGTACATGGGTACAATATCTAGACCCTATCAACCGGGCATGTTAGTTAAATACTTGAAGTGAGATCTTTATACCTCTTAAAGCGTAAGTAATCAAGATACAGGGGTTAAAATACCAAGATAATTGCGTCTTGATATATATAATATATATATACAGATAAACTAAACAGCCTGGAAACTGAAAAATGTGCCTCTTTTTTGAAATAGGTACGTGGGTTTCGAGACAACACCAGTTGAAATTAAAACGGGCATGAATTCTTTGATCCTTCAATTATCAATCATACAAATTGTTTAAAATGGTTAAAAAGAGAAGATAAGAGAAGATAAGATAAAAAGAGCGGAATACTACTAGTCAGAATTTCATGGGTATCAAATATCAATATCAGAACAGACTTGACTTACTGGTCTGTGCTTTGGAGCTCGGTTTAAGGGGAGGCATGATTTCCGAGATTAAATCACAACGGAAAGCCTCGATAGAAAAATCACAGATTCACAGAGTTTAAATTTTACAAGACACTCATTCGATAATGATCACGCAATTGAAAGGTCCTTTTTATATTAGTGAAATTTACCAAAAAATCTTCACCATTTCCAGCTTTCCAGATAACAAAGAAATTGAACAATAATCATTCCTTACAACTAACAACTTGTACTACAAAATTTGAAGATTATAACACCAAAAGAGTGGATAAGTCCACCTTGCCCTACTCGATGTGAGTTCCTGCTGTTTCCTTTCCAAGAACACACAGACAAATACTGACAACAACAGCCGCGATTTGAGCAAATGCTAGCACAATTCTTGGGTGGAGATTAAAGATAAACTGAGAGCATGCAATACCAGCACAGGCCCCTATTCTGTTAAAAACTAACCCAAATGAAACTACAAAGATCTCACTTCAGTTGGAAAATACTCAGCCCCCAGTATAAATGGGCTTAGTCCAATCTGGGCCGCACTGAATTTCGATATTGTGAAAAACACAAATGAATACTTGTCGTTTACACAGAAGTATAACGCTGTAAGAGCAATCAGTTGCAATAACGCTGATGATTGGATGTCTTTTTCCGGCCAATGATCTCCATCAGTATAACTGCTACTAGGACTCCCAGGGGTTCGAATAAACTGATGACACCCAGATCAAACAGAACCGATTTATTGAAGATACAAGATTCATCTTGTGTCACTTTTATACCAGTACAGTATCCTTCATTAAGAAATCTTGGCATGGAGTAACTGATGGTGTAGTAGATGAATATTGCTGTAAATCCCAGCGCATAGACAACAGCCAGATCCGTCATTCGTCCAGTTGCCTTGATAAAGTTCAAGGCACCGAAAAGTCCGGTTTCCTTATTATTAGTGTCATCGTCATCTTCTACCCTTTTCAATTTGATGATACCGCTTCCGCTGTTGCAGTTGAGCTTAGCGATGGTTTGGACTGTATTTTCCGCTCTGTCCCAGTTTCTATTTTTAGCTTCAAATCTCGGAGACTCTGGCATGATGGCAAAGAAGAAGATTGATGGAGAGAACATGATTGCAGTTCCCAACATAAACCCTCTCCAGCCGTAAGGATCAACGACGTAGTACGCCAAAGCACTTGTCAGTGATGCACCAATCCCCCACGCCAGGGAAACATAAGAGATCAGAAATCCTCTCCATTTGACTGTTGCTATTTCCGCTGAAATTTATTTAAATTGAGTGTGGGACAGAAAAGTAAATCTATTTATATTGTTCTCCAATCTCCGCCATATCCCCGAAAATGCGTGAACAGTGATCGCTGATAATTATTGAATCGCCTATTGTATCGCCTTGATGAACAGTGGGTAACATACATTTTTTCATTAAGAAACCCTCGTACATTACAATACATATTACATAATACTTAGACTTTATTTCGTGCAGAGCACTCGCCCACGTGCGGGGATGCTAAGAGCACTCGATAGCCAAGATATTATGGTATCGACGTATCGTAATTCGTAACATTTTGGTGTTAACAGATACTGATCAAGCAGTGTCCTGAGCAATATCAGGGAATAAAAGTAGCAGAAATTATCTTGATCCGTGCTTACCTGTAAGAGCGATAGAAGGCCCCATCCCAATTCCCATAGACACCCCAACAAGTCCCCGCAGTACAGCTAGATGCCAGTATTTTGTAGCAAGTCCACATAACAATCCTGCTATGGTAACTCCTATAGCTCCAGCTAGAGCTACTGGCTTCCTGCCAAATTTATCACCCGCTCCAGAAAAAAGGAGCGATGCCAGCGCCATCCCTATGAAGACGGTTATCTGAAAAGCAAAGTTTAGTTGACTAGGTGATCACGTGTTGGGCGCTGGCTGGCAAAATTAGATAAGTCGAAGTACAGTAAAACCCCGATTTACCGCTGAGTTAATAATATCAGGAGCTGCAGAATATCAAATCGCTTTAGATAATCGGTATTGTGATAAAGAAATTATATGAATAAAGATTAAGATTAATAAAGATTATTAAGATAGATTAACGATATATTGTCAAGTATATGTTACCAGTCCTATATTTCATCATGAAAGTTTCTGGGATGACTAGATTAAACACTGCTGAGTATAAGTTTATCTTAATAGTGGGGTTCTTAAACTTCAATTTATTATTATTATTAAGACTTTAGATTAATAGAGATTAAGATTAATAAATTACCTGAAGAGCAGTAACCCAGAAAGTAGTGAGCTCCCACTCACATCTCACCATGATTCCAACTATTGACAAAATCATTATTTCTCCCCTTCTAAACAGAACAACAAAAACGGTCCCAAACTGAAAAGAAATGTGCCACATCCAAATCCTGCTGTTTCCAATGCTTCATTTATATCTAGTTTTGAGTCCGGTTCTTTGGTGCTGTCATCTTCTTTATTCTGAAAGTCTTCCTTCAGCTGTGTATTCTCATCGGAAGTTTCCATTTCATCGCCAATTAACTGCTACTCTCTGCAACATAAACTGTAAAACTGAAAGAAGTGGGGTCAAACTTTTTATTTCATCTTCTAAAAGTAGTTTTAATCTTTGCGGCATCATTGTTAGCGAATCTTAACGATTTAATGGATAACCGGGTGACGTCATACGTTTAAACTTGGGTTATCAGTTTCAATATTACATAGCGTGATAGAAAACATAACTAGGCACCAGTGCTGCACGCTGCCGTTTTTTTTTCAAAACGGCGGCGGCATGGTTAAAATAGGTGTGGGCGTGTGGTCATGTGATTTCGCAGATTAAATTTTCCTCTAGAATAATAATGCCATCTGGAGAGCAAGTTTTAACAGTTTTGAATTTTGACATGAGGCTCGTAATATTTAGTATATATATATATAGTATAAGGTTCACGCCGTGTACGCCGTTTGAAAACGACGGCGGCGTGGCCGCAAAATTATCGGCAGCGGCGGCGTGCAGCACTGCTAGGCACAACTATCCAAACCTAGAAATAGAAAGAAAAATTATATAATCACGGATAATTCCTGAAAATCAAACTGTCCCAATTTCTTTAAGTAACTATCTTCAAAAAGTAGTTAATCTTCACGGCATCAGTTTTAGCGAATCTAAACGAGTCAATGGATAAACAAGTCCCAAGCAATTGATTTCACTGCACAAATGTTTGCAAATCTTTACGCGAAAAATAAATGAAACATTAAATATAAAAAAATAAATTCCACAAATGGTTTCATAGAAATATTACGACATCGCACGATGTATTAAACAAGTTAAAGGGGGTGTAAACAATTAATGATAACCCATGCCGAAATAACAATTTTGGCTATAACGACGAAGCTATCTGACGCACTACATAGAGCTGAACCTCATATTTAATTGTAATAAAATAGATATTATTCAACATCACCTACACGATTGCCAGTGTCTGATGTGGTAGAATGGGGGGGGGGGGGGGGGGGGGGGGGGGGGGGGGTACACTACACGTTTTTAGAAGATAATTTTGTTAAGTGTAATCAATAGTGTAAAATAGTGTAAAAAGGTGTACCTTTTTTACTACACCATACACAAAAACAAGCAAAGTTTAGTTTGTATGTATAAAGTATGGGATCAGAGATATTTAAAAGTCAGTGTACTGAATTTCAAAATTTGCTAATAGTAATTGTTAACCAATAGTAAGGGGAAAAGTGGTATTCCGTTGGATTTAAATGTTCACAAGGATTTAGCAACGGAATATGGTAGTTAGAACCCCTACGAACATAATTAGACTTGTCACCAATTTTGTATCTCGACAGAAACACCACTTTTTACCACTTTTTACCACCTTTGTACCACCTTTCTGGTTTGCCAAATATCTTTAGTTGTGAACGTCGTAGAAGGCTGAAAATTAACCTAGAATGTTTATCTTATCAAGGAGTAAAACGTTTGTACTACAAATTTTTGCATTGGACAATCAGCTAATTGGATAATTACCAATTAGTTAATTACCAAAAAAAGTGACAAATTTTTATTGGCTCAAAATGATTAAAATCGTTTGAAACACGGAGAAATGTAGTTTTTAGAAAAACTTCAAAACTTTTTCACTTACAAATTTTTTTTCGAGACTTGAAAAAATTTCGAAATTTGAAAAAAAATTTTCCGCCAAAAGTAATCGAATTGCATGAAACGTGGATAAAAATGCTTTGCAGAAAAACTTCGAACATTTTTAGATTGGGGAATACTAAAATCATAAATATTTGAAGTTGGAAGTTCAGTAAATCTCGGCATATTTTAGTAATTAGGAATAGCTTAGCGGAAAGGGCTGAACCTGAAAAAGGTTAACCACACAATATTAGAGTTTCATAAACTAATTACCAATACAGCTTTACCAAATTCCACATAAAGAAACAGCACAAAAGGACCGTTTAAGATCGAACCGATTTTACTGCTGTATATATCATTTTTATTGATTTCAATGATCAAAACCTCTCTGTACCGTCAATCTTGCCAATCTATACCGGGTATTGAATGTACCCGGACCTCTTCTTTGCTCTATATTAATTAGACCCAGTTGTGCAAGAAATGCGATTTCTCACAGGGGCTTCTTTTAACTGTGCACTTTTTGTCACTCTCGCAAAGAGGCCCGCTATTATAGGGGGGTATAGGAAGCAAGTGTAAATATACCTTCCATTATCCACTGTGGGTTTTTTGTGTTGTGAATGCGCATGCCGCTTCCGTTTGCTATGCAAGATACCTCGAATAACCCCCATATGTCATTGCCAGGGTCGGGATAGAGCTGGAGATAGCATTGAGAGGTTGCTAGAAATAGCTAGACTTAGAATAAAGTCTAGCTATCAGATTATGATGAAATGCTGTTAAGCTTAGTGGTGGGCGACAATTGACCCCCCGACAATTGACCCCCGACAATTGACCTCCGACAATTGGACCCCCCGACAATATAATTTAATACAATTAATCCTGACCCCTGACCCTGACCCTGACCCTGACCCTGACCCTGACCCTGACCCTGACCCTGACCCTGACCCTGACCCTGACCCTGACCCTAACCCTAACCCTGACCCAGGACCCTAACCCTAACCCTAGGCCTAACCCTAACCTTAAACCTAACCCTAACCCTAACCGTGACCCAGGACCCTGACCCTAACCCGATCAATTGACTCCAGTGTAATTACATGGGGGTCAATTGTCGTACTAAGCCCTAGATTTTGCGACAATTGACGCCAGTTTAATTACTTAGGGGGTCAATTGTCGGGGGGTCAATTGTAAGGGGGGCAATTGTCGCGGTACAAAGCTCAGGACGGTGATCTTGATAGGTGGATAGCTGTACCTGATTGGTTCCAGCCCCACCGTGTCGCTTGGAAGTAAGTTCTTACCCCACCTCTTCCAAAAATGCGGTTACCAGAGCAGGAACTCTTCTTCCTCCTCTTCTTTCAACCAAAAAAACAATCAGGTTCCTGCTCCTCTCCTCCTCTGCGGCCACAATCTTATCTCCTTCTTCGGCGTTTTACTGTTGCAGACTGTATCACTTGCACTGTTCTTTTGCAGTACTCCTGCACTGTTACACTGTAGCCTCTGTGCTCCCTGACTCCACCGTGGTTTGCACTGCCCCTAAATGCAATCTTAAGTAACTTTAGTTCCGGCACTCTTCGGCCATTTAAAATAACCAACTCCAATGAAACCCCGTGTAGCTCGTTCTGCTACCTCATGCTAGCACCCACCCAGCTACCACCACCAGTTTATTCTAAGTCTAGCTATTTCTAGCAACTCTCAATGCTATCTCCAGCTCTATCCCGACCCTGGCAATGACATATGGGGGTATTCGAGGTATCTTGCCATAGCAAACGAAGCGGCATGCGCATTCACAACACAAAAAACCCACAGTGGATAATGGAAGGTATATTTACAGCTTGCTTCTATACCCCCCCTATAATAGCGGGCTCTTGCGAGATTGACAAAAAGTGCACAGTTAAAAGAAGCCCCTTGTGAGAAATCGCATTTCTTGCCACAACTGGGTCTAATTATTATAGAGGCAAAGAAGAGGTCCGGTACATTCAGATACCCGGTATAGATTGGCAAGATTGACGGTACAGAGAGGTTTTGATCATTGAAATCAATAAAATGATAGTATACAGCAGGTAAAATCGGTTCGATCTTAAACGGTCCTTTTGTGCTGTTTCTTTATGTGGAATTTGGTAAAGCTGTATTGTAATTAGTTATGAAACTCTAATATTGTGTGGTTAACCTTTTTCAGGTTCAGCCCTTTCCGCTAAGCTATTCCTAATTACTAAAATATGCCGAGATTTACTGAACTCCAACTTCAAATATTTATGATTTTAGTATTCCCCAATCTAAAAATGTTCGAAGTTTTTCTGCAAATCATTTTTATCCACGTTTCATGCAATTCGATTACTTTTGGCGGAAAATTTTTTTTTTCAAATTTTCGAAATTTTTTCAAGTCTCGAAAAAATTTGTAAGTGAAAAAGTTTTGAAGTTTTTCTAAAAAACTACATTTCTCCGTGTTTGAAACGATTTTAATCATTTTGAGCCAATAAAAATGTTTCACTTTTTTTTGGTAATTAACTAATTGGTAATTATCCAATTAGCTGATTGTCCAATGTAAAAATTTGTCGTACAAAAGTTTTACTCCTTGATAAGATAAACATTCTAGGTTAATTTTCAGCCTTCTACGACGTTCACAACTAAAGATATTTGGCAAACCAGAAAGGTGGTACAAAGGTGGTAAAAAGTGTAAAAAGTGGTGTTTCTGTCGAGATACAAAATTGGTGACAAGTCTAATTATGTTCGTAGGGGTTCCAAACTACCATATTCCGTTGCTAAATCCTTGTGACATTTAAATCCAACGGAACCCTTAAATCGACCACTTTTCCCCTTACTAAAATTTGGCTATTCAGGGATCTTGTTTTTCAAGGCACACTATGGTATTCAAGAAGCTTATACTGCAGATCTGCACTCATTATTAGGGGGGGAGGGGGCTCATGTTTTGTGTTCTACCCTATTTTCTGAAGACGGACAAAATCGCACGGACAAAATCTTGATAAGAATACAGTGTAAACATGCCTTTGTGGTTATAAGTTTGTTCCGGAGTTGGTTAGAGCAGTAGAGGAAGCGAACTAGTATTATTTAATGAAGAATGGCAAGGTTTACACTTTGCAAAATCAGTAAAGATACGAAAATTGTCTCGACAGGTTCAACCATCAAAAGTAGCAGATGAGACTAAGAAAAGAAGAAACCCATACCACTGCACCGCATCATATAGCGTGTAATAGTTGTAGAGCCTCAATAGTCGTAGAGCCTCAATAGGAATTACATACTTTACATTATCATGATTATGACTATCATATAGTTAATCGTCACTCTTCCTCCTCCTCAGTCCTCCTTCTCCTCCTACTCCTAAGTTCTCCTACTCCTAAATCCTCCTCCTCCTCCTCCTTCTCCTCCTTTTCCTCCTCCTTCTCCTCCCTACTCCCTAAGTCCTCCCTCTCCCTCTCAGTCCTCCCCCGTCCTCCTTATC